GTCTGTATCTCTGTTTGTTTGTTTTTGTGTGTGGCTGTTTGTTTGTTTGTCCTTTGTTTTGTTTGTTTGTATGTTTTTTGTTTAATTGTTTTTTGTCTGTCTCACTGTTTGTTTGTCGGTTTCTCTGCCTGTCTGTCTGTTTGCCTGTTAGTTTGTTGGTGTGTTTGTTAGTCTGTCTCTCTGTTTGTTTGTTTGCCTTCTGTCTGTTTTGTCTGTTTGTTTGTCTGTTTTTGTTTTTTCTCTCTGTTAGTTTAATTTTGTTAGTTTGTTTGTCTCTTTGTTTGTTTGTTTGTTTGTCTCTTTTTTGTTTGTTTGTTTGTCTCTTTGTTTTTTGGTTTGTCTGTCTGTTTTTATTTGTCTGACAAACAAACAGACAGACAAACAAACAGACCACCAAACAGACAAACAAACAAACTAACACACACATAGACAGACAAACAAACAAACATACAATATGCTCCTTTAGTGATACTCTGTTTCTATTTCTTCATAATTGCAATGTTTCTCAATTACAATTACAAATAACAAACAAACAGACAAACAAAAAAACAAACTAACAGAGAGACAGACATAACAAAAATCAGACAAACACACACACAGACAGACAAAAAACCGACAAAAAAACAAACACACACATAGAAAGGCAGACAAACAAACAAACAATCTGCGCCCTTAGTGATACTCTGTTTCTGTTTCTTCATTATTGCAATGATTCTCAATTACAATTACAAACAAACAAACAAACAAACAGACCGACAAACACACAAACAACCAAACAAACATATAAAAAACAAATAAACAGACAGACAGACACACTAACAAACAGACAGACAAACAAACAATAATACAGAAAAACAGACAAACAAACAAACAGACAGACAGATGGACAAACAAACAAACAGAAAACAAACACACAGACACAAAGGCAGGCAGGCAAACAAACTATCTGCTCCCGTAGTGGAACTCTGTTTCCGTTTCTTCATAATTGCAATGATTCTCTATTACAATTACAAACAAACATACAAACAAACAGACACATAGACACATAGACAGGCAGACAAACAAACAAACAATCTGCTCTTTTAGTGATACTCTGTTTCTGTTTCTTCATAATTGCAATGATTCTCTATTACAATTACAAACAAACAGACAAACAAACAAACTAACACAC